GTGCTTCTGTAATGCACATAAATAAGAAGAACCCAAGCATTGCTACTGCAATGATTCAAAAAAAGGACCTCAAATATTCCCAGATAAACCCTAAGTTAACATTACAGAGCAGTTATGATTCTCTAGGAAAACAGGTGTTACGAAACCGGAAAATTCAGAATGAAGGTTAAATTCTAAAGAAAGGTATGGGCAGGGCCGGCTCCAGGCAACAAGGCTGGCTCCTGGGGCGGCACATGCTAAGGGGCGGCATTCTGTCCATTCTTGGGGTGGCACAGTCCGGGCGGCCTTTTTTTTAATTTATTGCTTCAGCAGGTCGGGCGGCAGTCCAAGCGGGGTGTGTGTGTGTGTGTGTGTGTGTGTGTGGTTTTTTGTTCTGCTTGGGGCAGCAAAAATGGTGGAGCCGGCCCTGGATATGGGAATGCACAGCGAGCGCACTCAAACCGCCTTAACTCCGCCTTGTAGCGATGCCATGTAATAACCATACAATTACGATTAATGCATAATAGTGTTGTTAGTTTCAGATTAGTTTAAACTAATTTTTAAAGACATCTTTTTCCTCATGGTGTCACTACTTGTCACTAATTAATTTTAATTCGTAAACAAGTCAACCAACTTATTCGTAAATTCTCAGAAAATTCATTCAAAGAGCAAGGGCTGTAAATATGGGGATGATACATTGTACTCTTCAAACATAACAGAGTGGTTGGCTGAATCCCTCCTTTAAGGGAAAAACTCAGCTCAGCCTTAACCATGAAACCGTATTTGGAGTTTCCATTAACAGATGCCACTTTTTCAGCTAGCTCTATTCAAATTGCTAATGCTATGGCTGCATCCAGATCATTCTGCCGGTAGGTCTGCTAGCTGAAGGTCACACCACAGCTCAAGATCTTCTCACAGTAGTCTAGGTATAGACAGAACCAAACCGGACACTATAAAAATGATAATGATTTGAGAAACTAACCAAGGACAACAATCATCTAAAAGAGAAAGGAAAGGATTGTATACAGCTGAGTCCAAAACATTCCTATGGTCATGGGATTAAAGCACAAGACTGAGATTTGGAAGATATGGGTTCATTTCCCAGCTGTGTCCAGACTTCCCGTGTGGCTATAGGCAAGCCACTTAGGGCCTAATCCAAAGCCCCCAAGTCAATAGGTTTGTCTCAGTTCCCCACCTGTAAAAGAGGGGAGAGAGCACTTGCCTACCTCACAAATGTCTTATGAGAATAAAGTCATTAACTCTCATGAGGTGCTTAGATACTACAGCAACGAGCATCAGAGAATATCTGATACATACATCAAATGCATTCATTCTAGGGAGTTTTGTAATTAAATCATTCGATAGCTGCAATGAATCAAAAGCTAGGCACAGGTAGGACCTTTTTCCACACCAGAGAGAAAAAATATATCAGGGACTGCTAAATTAATTGAACAAGTTACGGTAACTTTTCATATCTGAATGTTCATAAGACACAATTGCATAAACCCTCTTATCCAAATAATGCTGCAACTGGCTATAAAAGTTTCTAACTGAAAATACATCAGATCCACAAGGACATTGGAAAGACAGCAGAGAAGCTAAAATGAATAGCTTAATTACCTGCTATAATTTATTGGACATAGGCAACTGAGTCAATGGATCTCCAAAATTAATTTATGATGTCCTTGAAATAAAGAAACTCCACTTGAAATACTGTCAGAGTTTTGTTATTTTTCATCCAAGGACAAACAACAAAATGTTTTCAGGGCTCATTAGAACATGCTAGTGGGGATAGGACAAGATATCAGTGAGTTCTGTCCAATATCTTCGGTATAGCAGAATACCCAGAGCTTCAGCACTTCGCCACACTCACAAAGAGAAACTTCAGGACTGGACCATCCTTCCTGTCTGCTAGTGATGTAAATTTCCTAACTACATTGATGGGGATGAAGAGGGGGACTCATTTCAGACTCTCCAAAAGATCGGGTTATGCAATACTGAAAATAGACAACTAAGGCCTGATTGTCAGAACTGCTGTACACCCATAATTCCCACCAACTTCAATGGGGTGCTTAATGTCTCTGAAAATCAGGTAATAAGGATGGCTTGGAATAAAACAATGTGCTTGCCTTGAAATTAATAGTTTTCCTGTGCTCTAGGTCTGTATTTAAGGGCTTCTCTGTCTGTGGGCCATGTTAATGAGGTCAGGATTTCAGTTACAGATATATTTTCTTTGCGTTATCATGTCTTTTTGAGGCTCCAGTCCATCCTTAAGTTGGATGCAGCCATTCCTAATAATATAACAGTGCGATGGCAATACCATGTGCTTTTTTGTTTCTGTTTGAATGTATTAAATTCAGTGCACAGATTTTAAAGCCAGAAGGGACCATTGTGAGCATCTAGTTTGACCTCCTGCATAACAGAGGCTATAGGAGTAAATTAGTTCCTTCTACAAGTCCAATACTGGTAGTTGAACTAGAGCACTTCTTTTAGAAAAACATGCAATCTTCATTAAAGATTTCCAGGGATGAAAAATCCACCATAACCCTAGGTACACTGTTCTTATGGCTAATTATCCTCACTGTTTAAAACATTGTACCTTGTTTCTTATGTCTGTAAAATTGCTTGTATTTAGCGTTTGACAGTATTTGATATATACTATGGTGTAGGCACAGAAAAAATGAGTATTACATTACTACATGTTGTTCTGGCTTTCACTACAGAAGTTTCCTCACGCCAATATCAATTTTTCCCCCAACTCTCCTGTATCAGCATTCCTAGAATTGGCTTACATTTACATTTCCCCATCCCCCACCTGACTATAAATAGCTACATCTCATAGATCACTTAAGGAGCATAAAAGTTGCTCCTTGCAGTCATTTATTTGATTTTACAGCCTTTCTTGTATGTTAATCAAACGCATAAAGTGCTGAGGTGCATAGGTGGCAAGAAAAAGTCAATATTTTACCATGAACCTCATTTATCTACATTAGCCTGAAACAAGGTAGATCTGTAAATTTGGGCTTTACTGGATTTAATGACAAAGATCAATTACAGGACCTTTGACATGGCAGGGATTTGTCTGATGGGGGGGGGGGGAAATCATCACTGCATCCTAAAGGGGATTATAAATGTTAGCTGGTAGGACCTGTCCTTTGCTTCTAGTGGCATGTGCTGGCATATAAACACTACTAATTGTATTTGAACTATAGACATGCATTTTAAAAAGAGTTAAAAATCATTGAGGACTAAGTTGTGGTTGGCCCTTTGTGGACACAGTAGTAGGACTGGAAGGGGTACAGGGAAAAAAGCATAGAGATTCTTCATAGGTGGCATCCATGATTTGGCTGCAATACTGTATACACATCTGGGCTTGGACTGTCCTTTTCTGTCTGGCAAAATAGATCCCACCCCCCAATTCATGACTGGGGTCTTTGGGCACATTTCCAGCTCTATATGGTCATTAGCGCAAGATTTCACTGTATTTCTCATGTACTTAAGGCTGCTATTGGAGGGTGACCACATAAAGCAAGAAAGCAATAGCATGGTCTCATGGACAGAGATCTGACTGAGATTTAGGAGACCTGGGTTCCATTCCTGATTCTGCCACAGGCCTGCTATGCAAACGTTGGCATGTACTTTCATTTCCCTGTGCTTCTGTGTCCCATCCCACCCTTTATCTATCTGAACTGTCAGACTGTAAGGTCTTCAGCACAGGGACTGTCTCATCCTATGTGTTTGTACAGCTGCTGGCACAGTTGTGGCTTCTGTATGCTACCATAATATAAATGATAATGAGGCCAAATGCTAGGCTCAATTACATCTCACTTCTAAGAAGTTCCTCTGATGTAGATGAAAAGAGAACTCAGCCCATTAATTCCATCTTTGTGCACTTTGGCTCATACCAGAATGTGGCTAGTAAGATGCAATTGGGCAAAATGTGCCCATCCTATTTGGAAATATAAATGAAGTTCGAAAATGTCCAGGTTGGCTCCAAGATGGAAAGTAATGGCTGCAGTAATGAATGAAGACAGGAAATCAGTGATTGACAGAATGTCTGAAATGTCTGGCAGCTCTGGAAGCACAAAACAAGTGGACTGAGAGTGCGGAGTGGCTCTTTACCTCTGAAGTCATGGACTCAAGCCAGCATGGTAACAACACTATCAGCATGGGGAAATTGGCCTTTTAATGTATTGTGAAGGGTGAATGCAGCTCCCAAGGCCAGGTTTTAGCAACATATACTGTTCTATCCATGCCTGAAACGCTAGCCATCTGGCGCATTGACAATGTCTTAGCACATCCCATACATAGTCCCACATGCTTCGTTGTTACTGACCAAATGAACCAAATTCAGAAAATGATGAATGTCTCACTTGTACAGCAAATTAATCCTAACAATTTTCCTTCGATGGCTGTTTGTTGTTTTCTGTTTACTCGTGTATAAAGGAAGGAGGAAGTGACAATTAAATTGAAACAGAATGGAACTGATTTTAACAACTTTGGGGAAGCCAGATTTGGCCATTTGAAGTCTTCATGAACAGTGGGGCTTAAAGGGACACTCTCAAAAAATGTATGTCTCACTTTTGGGTTTTGTTACCCTAGAGGGTTTTATGAGAGAGGAACAGAAATGTCTTTATTCAATGGAACCAGTTTACTAAAAAAAAAGGAATTTCACTGTGAAATTGATATTATAGTGTAAAGGGAAGTGAAAAGTAAGACACTCTACACACTTATAACTATTGTATAAGTATCAGAGGATAGACAGCAGCGAGAGAGAGAGAGAAAGAGACAGAGATTTCACTGTCCTAGCTGAGTGAAATACAAAAAGTAAACAAACTTATATCATCAAATGTTAATGAGATTTTAAAACTGTTTCAGCTTTGATGCTTGTTCTTAATAGCCCTATTAAGAGATTTTGTTTAATACTTTTCAAGAGTTTTATTCTATCATTTTCTTGGGAGCCTTCAGGGGTTGATGTTACATTAATTAACATGTGAAGATCTTGGAAGTTTTTATCATTGTTTGCTTCTTGGCTTGGCTAAAATCAAATATCTGTTCTTATCAGTTTAATATCTGACACTTCCCTTATCTGGGCACTGTGTATTAAATGGAGTGTTGGAACTGAAACCTTGATTTAAGTCATTGATGTTAATCATGTTTTCATTTATACTTTATAGTATATTTTTTAAAGAAAGGCTGATTCTCATTGGTAGATAACCATTAAAATGTGATGATTTGCAACTAAATATAGCCTTTAGACTAAATGTGGTGTTTCTTTCTGCTAACCAGGAGCATACACTATGTCTATACACATGTATTTAAGCAATCGCATAGCTTAACTTAACATTTATTTGGCTTTTAATTTTTCTGGTCTTTATGATGTTAGAAAATGCTGAATGATGCAGTTCTTATTTACTAGATGATTAAGTTTTTACTTGGGATTTTTGTCAAGCTCTGTCTAGATGAAAATTCAAATTCAGTTAAAAATGATCAAAAACAGATTTTTACCCTATTAAATAAAACTCCCTTAAATGTGCTGGATATACAAGAAAAAAAGTTTATAAAAAGGTTTATCAGAACATGTTTTGCATTTAAAACTAACTGACTTATTAGACAAAGGAAGTATTATCTGTCGTTAGGTTTCAGAGTAGCAGCCGTGTTAGTCTGTATCCACAAAAAGAACAGGAGAACTTGTGGCACCTTAGAGACTAACAAATTTAGCTCACGAAAGCTTATGCTCAAATAAATTTGTTAGTCTCTAAGGTGCCACAAGTACTCCTGTTCTTTTTATCTCTCGTTAGTGAGTTGAACTGATTATTTCTGAGCACTATGTCCTTCAAGATTTTAAAACTAATAGCTCTCATCCTGTTATACCGAATGCTTATTCATAGATTGGAAGAGGAAACCAAGCTTTCCTGCTTTTTCACTCCCAACTGGTTTCTTAACTTTGAAAGAACTAAACGAACTAGTCACTGAACTGAACCAATTGAATAACCTGAAATGAAGAAAATATTTTCACTGCACCTGCAGAGGAGGCTACTGCTGTCAAAAGCTGGTTTAGCACTTCAGCAAACAGGGGTCTCAGGTGGTTAGCCAGTGATTACTGCCAGTTCAGCAGTATGACCTTCTTTAAAGCTTGGAGGCAAATATGTACTGCTTAATATTATTATTTGTATTTAACTGAAATGATTTTAATAGATTATAAGTTTAGGCTATCAAATTCAAATGTCATTGTAAATAGCTTTTGTTAAATAAATAAACCTGTTTCTCATTTAAATAAAAAGTCCAATTTAAATTTTAAAAATCTGATTTTTTACTAAAATTAAATGCTGATATTTTTATCCACCCTGGTGCTCGGCATGGAGTGGCTCCACTACCATTCTTTGACCTGGGTAAGAAGATTCTCCCTCTTCCACTGGGAGCATTCCCCAGTACTCAGCTGAGCTAGTCAGGTTGAGCACGGTAATAATAGCCAATGGAATCAGTGACTCGGATCAGGTTATAAAGTCTCAGTCTCCGATGGCAGAGTTGGCTCATGTGACTGGGCTCAATACTTCTGACGTGTCATATGGATCAGACTCCTCTGACTGTTTTTACAGGCACTGGGGAAAGGATTCTGACCTAAGGGACAAAGGATTATCCTGTAGGCCAGGACTGGGAGTCAGAAGCCTGGCCCCAAACTTCCTGTGTGATAGTGGATAACTCTCCGTGCCTTGCTTTCCACACCTGTAGAAAGGGAGATGAGAAATTGTTACAATCTCTCTGGCACATTGTGGGGTTAAGTAAGTTCCTGTCTGTGAGGAACTTTGGGACGTACAGATGGAAGATGCTGTAGAATTGCAGAATATTGTTGATATTGAAGAGTAAGAGTGGCTGACCTGGCATGCACATCTGTGAAAATAACTTAGAATAATATTATATGCAACCAGGACCATATAACTAGGGTATCCACTGAAAAGAAGTGGCACTATTCTGTTCGCATATTTAATTTTTCTGTGTTCTAGCAAAGCCTTATGCTTTACTTTTGTTACAACTCTTATCTGATAGGCACAATACTAAGATTTTAGCACCATCTGCTGGAGGTAGGATATAATGGTCACTTTAAAAAAAAGCAAATTACATAAAAGTAAAACACATATTTTATGCTGTTGCTTTCGTCGAATCTTTGGCATCTCCTGGAGGGACAGAGTCACCAACACTGAGGTGCGCAAGCCGGCCAGTATACCAACACTCTGCAAACAGAAATGCCTCCGCTGGCTTGGGCACGTGTGCCGAATGAATGATGGGCGCATCCCAAAGGACATCCTGCATGGAGAATTGGCATCTGGAAAAAGACCCAAAGGGTGTCCAAAATTTCTTTTCAAGGATGTGTGCAAGCGAGACCTCAAAGAAACGGACCTGATGTGGATAACAGGGATGATCACACTCAGGACCGCAGCCTTTGGAAACAAGAGCTAAACAAAGGTCTCTGGAGTTACAAGAGGAAGCCGTCCAGCCTAGCAGAGGAGAAAAGAGCTTGCAGAAGGCAGAGCCCAAAGTGGCAAAACATCCTCTTCAAATGTGTCAGCTGCAGCAGAGACTGGCTCTCTTGAGTAGGTCTTTTCAGCCACAGCCATGGCTGCCATAAAACCAACTGAGTAAATTCTTTACCACTCAGGGGCACATACCCATGGCCTCTCGAGACTGCAGGATGCATACTTACCAATGATTCATAGATGTTAAAGACAGAAGGGAACACCTAGCCTGACCTGTATAACACAACACAGGTCACAAAAAGAGTAGGTTGTGTGAAGAAGAAGAAGAAGAAGAACCTTAATGAGACAGACAATAAATCTGTTTAGCTGTAGCTGAATCTAGCTGAGGCATATTCAGATGCTACCCTGTACCAGCAATACCTCACGGCCAGCAGGATCAAAGACTGGGGACAGACCTAAAAGCGTCAATACAGTCACCTGACTTTTGTACATCACCTGAAAGAGAAGATCAAACTAGGATACTCAGCAAGTCAGTTTCCCACCGCCACACAACCACAGATCATTCTCTCCAACTGATTTACAATGCCCACTCGATCTTAACTCTACACCCTCAAAACTGCAAAAAAATTGCACACTTATCAACACAGAATAAAAACTTGAAATGCACTTTTCTCATATCAGTAACTTTTCAACATAATATAACTATGACACACTATGTAGAATCTATTACTACCAAATAATTCTGCTTCCGATTTCTTACTACACAACAGAGCTACATATTCAAGCTAACAATTTCCACACATTGTACAATCATCCGATTTCATAGCAATGAACACCACAACATTCATTCAAATTTGAGTCAAAATAACATTCCAAAAAATGGTAGGCAGGAAATTGCAAGTGTATTTATGCCTCTGACAGTGAAGAAATTGTATGTAAAATACCTGCAGACAAACAGCATATGTTAAAGCCCCAGGCTTAATGGGTACCACACACCTACATATTACACACAAAAACTATGTTAAAAGAACATTACTAAGGTTGCAAAGTTGAGCACTGAAAAGTTAGGAAATGCCAGAATTCAGGTTGTCTTAATTCAGCCCCCTTGTGCATGCGCATTATGACGCAATCTTTTTATTACATGCTCACATACTATTTTTTCCATAGGACTCCTCCTGCCTCATTCAGTCCATGGAATGGATGGGGATTTACTTAATGAGCAGCTATTAGGTATTTGCTTTTATCCTCACTATTCGATGTGTGCCCATAAACCATATTTACTGCACAACTGTTCAATCTCTGCTCTGAAGACAGAATTCATAATTTCCTCATTGACTTTACTATGGCGTTCATCACTCTAGTATCTGAGTAATTCACTACCATTAATTGGTTTATATTCATAACTCCCCCGTGAGGTATGGGGAATGGTATTATCTCCATTTTACAGATGAGAAACTGAGACACAGGGAGATTAAGGTCAAAAGCGTCCACTAATTGTGGGTGCCCAATCTGAGACATCTAGGACCTGCGGAGTACAGATATGTTCAAAGCACAGCTCCCACTGATTTCAGTTGCAGTTGGGAGCGCTCAGCACTTCTGCAAATCAGGCCCTAGGGTCTCCCATCAGGCAGCCAGACATTGAGGAACACACAATTAATGACCACCTCTAAAAAGTTTGGTTTAAGTGACTTGCCTAGCACCCCACAGGGACTCTTTGGCCAAGGCAGAGATAGAATCTAATTTTCTAAGGCAGCCGACAGAGTAACTGATAATAGCAGTAGGTTGTCATCCTTTATGTGGATCAGCCGTATAGGGAGATAAGACACACTTTGCCAGTGGGTTTCACAGACACTTGTTGAGGACAGAGGAAACATAAGACTCAAGAATCTTGGGTTCCATTCCAAGCTCTGGAGGGGAGTGTACTCTAGTAGGCACAAACTCTTCTGACCCTTGCTGCCCTGTCACCTCCAACCGGTCCCTGTTTCAATCCTGCCTCTTCCCCACTCCTGGTTCTTCGTCCCAGCCCTATTCTCCTCACCTAGCCAATCCAAGTCTTCAATCCTCATGTTTATCATCTCAGTCCCAGTTTCTACCCAGCCATTCTCAGTTCCCTCCCCTCCACTGCCTCCTTTTTCCCAGTCTCCTTGCCCAGCCAGTTCCAGTCTGCCCCCACACCTGAACTCCCAGTCCCTATCTTCTCTTCCCACCCCCCACCCCCAGCTACTTGTCTTAATCTACTACCCCTATACCAGGTCCACCTCTTGCCCCATGCTCATCTGAATCAGGCAGCTTCCTCCTCCACACAGCATGGGTGTCAGCAGTGGGAGCATTGAGAGCACCCGAGAGACAGTCCCCTATTCTCAGTTCCAGGATTCAGCCTGGATAGCCCGGAGAAGTAGCCAGAATGAGAGACTGCTCACAGCAGATTGTGCAGATGTTCGGAATATTATCATGTGTGTTCTCCAAGCGACACTGACCTACACTGACTACACCACTGCAATATACCATTGACTAGAGAGCTGCAATACACCTAGGCATGATGCCTTCAGCACTTGGGAAACTCCAGCTAAGAGGACTGTGATGGGTTGGATCACAGAAACCCCCTTGGGAGCTGCCACCCGATGTACCAAGACTACCCCTGCTTCTGTTTTCCCTGCCAGCTCAGGAGTCCAGCACCCTGTCTTGCTGAGCCAGACACTCCCGTCTGCTCCAGCAAAGACCCAGGGTCTGA